ACATCCACCCCCGCCCCAGCTTCTTCCTGATCTACCCTACTTCCCTCACCACCCATCTGGTGTCCAGCCAATAACTGTGACTAGACAGGTCAGAGCTTCCTTGGGCAGAACTCTTTACTATTATTCTGCTAAATGGACTTAAAAAGTTTTCTAAGATAAAACAATTTTGTAGCCACATGAAATTGAACTACTTGAGGATAAAACTGTCTGTTAAGTCTGACAACATATTCCTGACTGTAATTCATTCTTTACCACTTCTGTATTAGGAGAACTCTAATTCAGTCCCATCCTCATGAAAAAGAAGAGTTGCCATGAAGATGGGTTGTATATCTGGTTTGTTTAGTAATTTTTTCTGGGCTATGTTCTAATTATATTATAAATATTTATCTAAAATCTTTAGATATTAGATGATCTCCTAGCCTTCAGATCCATCTATCTCCATACCATCACTTAGCCCTAAAAACTAAGAATGTCCTAGATTCCTAAAAACTAAGAATGTCCTAGATTCCTAAGTCAAATTCTCCAGAGTTCTGTATCTCAGTGAATTCTCTCTCCAGTTGCCATCTACATGCAGGGGCATGTGTTGGCCCTCCTTTTCCTTCACAAATCCAAACATCAAGTGGTCAGTTTACAAAAGTCTTGCCAACTCCATTCTGCTAAGTATCTCTCAAATTCTTAGATCTGTAACTCCATCCACTGCCTTCCGACACCATCATCACGGAAGCTTCTAAAAGGTATCACCACTGTAATTTCATTATGGTACAACTCACTCTTTGCACTACGATCAGAATAGGTTTTTAGATTTTACTGTTATTTTGTGTGTATGGATGTTTTGCATGCATGTCTGTGCACCATTTGCATGTGTCCTGTACACAGAAGCCAGATGAGGGCATCAGATCTCCTGGAATTGGAGTTACAGATGGTTCCTAGCCACCATATGGGTGCTGGGAATCAAACCCAGGTCCTCTGGGAGAGCAGCCAATGCTCTTAACCATGAGCCATCTCTCCAGACCCTGGAGTGTTTTTCAACCAATAAAGCTGCGTTACATACCAGCTTGAAAGCCTGCAGTCATTCTCTGTTGTAATAGGAGTGGCAGGGCTGCGTCCCCAGCACCCCGGCCGCCAGCTAGCTTTACCCGAAATAACAACACACAAATTGTATTCTTTTAAACACTGTTTGGCCCATTATATCTAGCCTCTTCTCGGCTAACTCTCGCACCTGGACTAGCCCATTTCTAATATTCTGTGTAGCACCCCAAGGTGCACTTACCGGGAAGATTCTAGCCCACGTCCATCCTGGCGGCTTGCTTCATCACATGCATCTGCCTCAGAGAGCAGAGCTATCGTGTCTGCCTGGGAGAGGGGAGCATGGCATCTCTGAGCTCACTTCCTCTTCCTCCCAGCATTCTGTTCTGTTTACTCCACCCACCTATGTTCTAACCTATTAGGGCAAGCAGTTTCTTTATTTAATTAACCAATGACCTTCCTCCATCAATTCTCACTACTCATGCAAGATGCTTCTACCTCTTTCAACACCATCCACAGAGCCTTCTGAGATGACCTTCTCTGCCTTTCCACCTCTTGCTGCCTTCCCACTGAGGACCACCTTCAGTCACAGGAACATCCTCTCTATAACTATTGTCCTTTCTTTCACTTCTGGGGTTTCACATGTGCTCTTTGGGGAGTCCCCTATCCCCGACATTTAAGCTGGTCGTCTCTCTTCCTTGATGTCTCAGGGCACATTTCCACTTGTAGCCCTGTGCCTATGCACCTATCTGCTTTCCTGTGCCAGCCTGTCACTCAAGACTGTTAGGTCGGAAGGGTGCGGTCTCGCCCCTCTAACTGTGTCTTTGCTGCCTAGCACTGTGTCTAATCATAAGAAGCATTACGTCTCCTTAGAAATGCAAGTTTAGAATGGTGTTTGTTTACAGAGAAATCACTAAGAAGTACAGGTAGTTCCTTTACACCGTACCACCCAGTTTCCAGTATTAATATCTTGAATTAATGCAATATACTTGCCACGACTAACAGATATGTGTTGGAATCTCATTATTAATCCAAGTCCATCTTTTTCCTTTTAAATAATATTTTGTAAGTATTTTCAGTTTTATTTTATTATTATTGTATGTGTATGTGCATGGTGTGTGTGTGTGTGTGTGTGTGTGTGTGTGTGTGTGCTGTAAGTGCAAGGATGTAAATGTCACCCACATGTGTGCAGAGGTCAGAGGACAACTTTCAGGGGTTCGTCTCTCCTTTCCTCGTGGGTCCAGGGAACTGAGCTCTGGTCATCGTGCACAGCAATACTTCTGCCCCCTGAGCAGTGACACTCGGGGCTGTGCTTTTTTTACATTTCCTTAGCTTTTACTGCACACCCCTCTTGTGCTTTGGGACCTTGCCTGTGATGCCTCATCTAGTAGACCCATCTTCTTAGGTACACACCTCTTTGTTTTCACTCTTTATTGGACTTTTCTTATTTCTAATTACCTTAAGCATTTTGCGAAGCTCAGTTATGTAATCTGTGGCAGGTCCTCCCTCTGGGGTTTGTCTGACATTTCTCTCCTGATTAGACTGGGGTGACAGCGTTGAGGGGAAGTCACAGGAGCAAGTATCATTTACATATGGCCATTTGCTGTCAGCGCAACTTCTCGCTGGTGACATTTGCTTTATCACCTGACTCGTGCTTGTCAAGAGTCTCTGTTATCCACTCCTTTCTCTGTCTTTCCATACTGTCTCCAGGAAGACACTAGGTCTAGCCTTCCTCTGAGGGGAATGAAGATATGTAGCCTCCTCCTTGTGTTTACTGATCCAGTCATCCAGTACTGACTCAGTACTGATATGGACCTGGCTCTTCATTATACCTAGGTTCTAATTCAATACTGCCTTTTGTTGTTGTTGCCCAGATCATTCCTTCTTTGACCACTGGGGCTCTTTCCGCGTTTATCTGTTGTTTATTTTGTTTGTCTTAAACACATCCCTTTCCAGCACAACCTAATGTTTTTCATCATGTCCCAGACTTAGTTTGACCATTTCTCCAAGACTCCCTGGCTCCTTTCAAAGGTGAGCAATGAGGAACCATAAGATCTTTGGAGACACAAAATGATTAAGTTAAAACATTGATTCATTTAGAAACCACAGATCTGCAAAGAAGGATGTGAGAGTCCCACCATCCAAAATGAACAAATATTATTTTTTATTTTGCTTCTGACATAGTTTCTGAGAAAAACACTTAAAAGGTTAAAGATCATTGCTCTCCTCTCTGTCTTGCCAGAAGCAATCAACCACAGCCTCCACGTGTAGATTTTCTTTTTCAAACATGTAGACTCTACATTGTGGAGAGTACTTGCAGGAGAAAATATATGTTAAGGGAAAGACTGGACTTTAACTGTGCTCTGTCCCCCAGCTTTTGAGCTGCTCTAGATGGTAGCTGTGACTCTTCCCCTCACTGTTCCACTCACTTCTCCTGAAGCTAGACTTCTCTCTTGCCCCTCCTTCAGGGATATCTTCTCTTCTCTCTCAGTTGCAGCCAACTCTGTTTCGTTCATCTCACCCACCCTTGATTCTCTGAAGGCTGCCCATGTATCATCCTTCCCAGAAAAAAAAGAGAATGTCTTAGTTAGGTTTTCTATTGCTGTGGAGAGACACCATGACCACAGCAACTCTTATAAGGAAAGCATTTAACTGGTGTGGCCCACTACAGTTCAGAGGTTCTGTCCATTATCATCACGGTGGGAAGCAAGGCAGCATGCAGGCAGAAATAGTGCTGGAGCAGAGAGTTCTTACATCTTGATCCAAAGGCAACAGGAAGTAAACTGACTCACTGAGCATGGTTGAGCATATGAGACCGCAAAGCCCACCTCCACAGTGACACACTTCCTCCTACAAGACCACACCTCACTCCAGCAAAGCCACTCCTTTCAGGCGTCATTTTCTTTCAAACCACCACAGAGGGTATCATGTTGTAAGCTTTGCGAAAGCAAACATTTTTGAGACTTTTTTAAATTAACTTTGCTGTTTGACAATTTCATACATGTCTGATGCATTCTAATTACTTTCCCACTTGCTGTCTCTTCTTTCTTCCTCCCCATCAACCCCTTTCCTCCCTCCAAATCCCTCTCACATTCATGTCTTCCTGTTTGATTTCATCACCCACTGACTTTAATCAGGGCTGTCTATGGGAACTTGGTAGCCTCACTAATAGATACACAACTGAAGATGACGACTTCTCCTCTCCCTGAATCTATCTATTAGTGGGGTGGGGGTGTAGATGCCCCCATTCATAACTAATGGTTGACAGGAACAACCTTGTGCAGGCCCATGAACTTATATGAATAACTGCTGGGCGAGCGTGACTGTGATGGCCACACCATATCCAGAAGATGGCATTTCACAATCCATCTCCCTTCTTCTGATCTTATGCTCTTTCCACTCCCTGAGCCTGAGGGAGGCTTTGGACTGCAAAGAACTGTGCAAATGTAAGATCTTACTACTCTGTTCATTGTGAAAACAAAACAAAAAACAAACAAACAAGAAACTTGAACTTGACACTTGAGGCATCATTTATTTGTTTGGAGTATCTGACTCTTAGACAACTATTTTAGATCTTCTGTTAGCATATTCTACTTGGACTGATTCTGAGCTCAGCGATATTATCAGTTCCTTCCAGTTCTTTCTGAACTCTTGCTTTTGGAAGGCTGAGGCTGTCAGCCTGGAGGATAGTCATTTTCATGGCTCCTTATTTTTCTTTCATGTATTATTCCTCAAGATGTAGGAAAAGTACCCACCAAAGAGAAAAGGCTTATTATTGAAGCTCATACAATCATCTCTGGCAAGTGACTTAACATGGAAAGTTAATTGTACAGTCGTAAGTTGAAAGGCTGCCGTGTTCATCTCCAGCTCTTGAATTCCCTTTGTGGAAGGTTCTAGTGATGGTGTTCTGGGCAGAGCAGGAGGTTTTTGGAAATCCCAGTAACCCTCAGTTTTTTTTTTTTTTTTCTCTGTAGCCCACACTTATTTTGGCAGAAGAAAATTTGGAAGCAGTCGCTTGAAGACAGTTGGCATCGTATCTGGAGAGCAAACAGCAGCACAATGAAGCACTTCCTGAGGTAAGTGGTCAAGGCTCCCTGGGTGAGCCTCCGAAGTGGAGAAACCTCCTCTCCAGTTAGAGAGCCAGCTGTCTCCTCTGCTCCTCAGCTGTGAGCCCCAGACAGGGTCATTGGATTTGCATTTTGAACGAGGGTAACCTGTGAGTGAGGTTCCTCTCTTCCTCTGTCCACCCTTTATTCCCTAAACAGTACATTCTCGTAGCTGTTGGGCAACTTTGGAAACCCTTCCATTTCAACCAAGAAGAAGGTTATGTAAATGCAGCCTGAATGAATCAGGTATTAATTCCTGATTCTACATTAAGTAGCACGAGGAGCTGACTTTTCCTGGGGAGAATTTCAGCATTACTTAAAAGGCCACGGAAAGATTAATCTGTCAACTTCTGCAATGTTCTGAAATGAAGTGCTCCAGGCCTAGACCAGAGGAAACTAAATGAACCTTGGGGAGTCCAGATTGTAGGAAGGAATGAATTCTAACGCTCATTTAAAGTGTGTGCAGTCTATCTTAGTCCCTTTTCTTCCTAACTGCCTTATCCAAGCAATTTATAAGAAAGGATTTATTCAGCTCATAATTCTGGAAGCTGGGAGGCCCAAGGTTGAGGGACTGCACCTGGAGAGGACATTCTTGCTGCCAGAGACCCTGAAGAATCCCAAGACTTTCCAAACTCTGCTTGGTGAGAGAGGCAAGTGACAGATGCCTCACTCCAAGACCGTAAACGGATTGATCCACTATCGCATACATGGACTCAACCATGAGGGTGGTACATCCATGGCCTAGTCACTTCTAAAAGGCATCCCTGATCCCACGCCTTAACACTTGACAGTGGAGATCAGGCTGAGCATGAGTTTTGCACGGGACAGTCAAAGCAAAGCAGTAACCTGTCTCTTCCACTGCTGCGGCCATCGAGTATAGTGATGGCGGAGCTGCTCAGAGCATAACGGGATGGAGACTATGGTTTACATGTGTTTTTAGTTGCGTTAGGAATAACAAATAATTGCTACAGGATGAGCACGCCCAGCTAAAGGATATGTTTGTGACTGAATGCAGTCATGGAATATTGACTAAGTAACGGCCCTTGGTCACTCAATCAGCCACAGCTGCCCAAGAAGAAAGCAAAGCATGCTGTGAATGAGAAAATGTACCTCTGCGGTCTCAAAAAGAGGTCAGCGTGTCTTATACCCCAAGTGAAACTGAGGATTAGGGTTTAGTTTTTATAATCCACTTAATTTATTTTAATTCAATTGATAGTTACAGAAATAAGGGACTCGAGACTCATACTGAAAATCTTTTCCTTCATTAGAATTTCATTATTTTGAGATTTGATTTTTTTAAAGTCATCAGAACATTATCCTGGAAAATTCTGATAAAGAGAATTTTAAAGTCACCCCTCATAAATAATTGCCACTGGCTCTTCCAGCCTCAGAGTCTCACTTCTCCATTGTGAACCTTCCTGTGTATGCTCCTAAGAAAGGAAAGGCAAGAATTTGCCAACTTCAAACTGCCATGAGCAACTCAGGACCTATCCCTCCCTCCAGGCTTTGAAGTAATTAGGGGAAGTATTTTACCCTTCTGATTGGCTAATAAAGCCTCATCCCTCACGAATGTAACTGGGGCTTTGTAAGTCATTCACTCTCGACTAACGTTTGGCCCACTGATTCTTTCAGTCAGCATTTGCTGTGACGACACCGTATCACAGCGTTTCCCTTCTCAGTGCAACTGTGTAAAAGACTTAATGGGTCATCGTATAGAGGAAGACCAGGGAGCTTACTCAGTTGAGTGGCTTGTTCCAAGGCACACAGATACTTGAATCCAACCTATTTCTGGTAGCTTGTGCGTTGTGTGCCTCCCTTGCTATGTGTGAGTCTTTGTGGGTTGAGACAAAGGGATGGGAGACAGTCTCTGCACCCAAGCAGCAGAGCAACCGGAGGAGCAAGGCAGAGCTAGGATATAAGGATGGTTGTGGCCTGTGGCAGGCTGCAGTCTTTCTGGACACGGTATTGTCCTCATTAAGGCAATACTGACAAGAGTGGTTAGGGCATTGCTGGTTGGAGCTAGGAGCCAAACCCTCGGTTTTCACCTTCTAAGAATGTTCTTGGTCGTCAAATGCCATCTCCAGAGCTTGGACATAGGCAGTTTAGGATGAGGACCGCAGGTGCAGGAGATGGAAAAGCCACCATGAGCGAAGTGAAGTAGGAGTGAGCACCACAGCGCCAGGGGTCCCCTTCAGCGGGTGTGGACTGTATTTAGAGCGAGCAGAGGATAAATAAAGGAGTATATGGACATGTTTGCGAGTTTAACATCAAATCATGCTCGGCAGCATTGTCTTCCACGCTCCTACTAGGATGGCCCACTAAGCAGTGCTTAAAGCATTCCACCACCTTCCTAACCCAAAGTACCAAAGTCCATATTACTCCAAACGGGGTCCAGCGCCCTCTTCTGAACTCGCAGGTACCAGGCACACATGTGGCGCACACACAGACAGGCTGGCACAACACTTGTACACGTGAAAGAAATAAGTCTTTAAAGCAAACTTCCCTTCTTTGAAAAATAAAATAGAGAAAAATAAGGGGAAATTTAAATGTATCTTGGACAACAGATAGTGTTGCAAAGAATGCAAGGATGAAGCTTACAAAAGAGCAGGTAGTATGCGACAGCCGGTGCATTGGGGAGTTTGTCATTCGTGTTTTGCAGTGTGGTTTATGTGACTGTGGGCTGTCACAGTATTCTGCACACTTCAGAGTGATGCTTCTGTCCTAAGCCCCACCATGGCATTTCGACTACGTTTCACTTCTTTTTGACAGTGGAAATATCCTTGTGGGTATGAAAAAGAGAGCAAGAAAGAAAAGCAAACAGAATAGGGTGTCTTCTCTCTCCTTTTATGTAAAATTACCTGTCTATGAAACCCACATGGGTTTTTCTTCTGCAATACAAAGAGACCTGGGGAAGAAATGACACCCAGGCTCCAAGTCATTCTGCAGATAGACGCTTCCTGGCACCCAGGATGGTACTTTCAAGTCTCAAGCCACTCCTGTGTATAAACCTGGTGCAGCAGCCGAAGGGGAGCCATTCTGGAGCTTGGTTTAAGATAGAAAATGGCTAGTGCCTTTCCCCTGCGGAGAGGGACGATGAAGGAGCTCAACTCTGTGTTAATAAGCTTCTCTTGATATTCTCAATACCTGAGAGCAACTTCGAGTGAGATTTACTTGACTCGTACTTTTGAAATTCTGCTGTGCCCTGGCACTCTGGCCTGTGGGAAGGCAACACTTCAGGTTGGAAGTATTCAAGGAGCAGAGCTACTCACCTCGTGACTACACAGAAAAGGAGGAGGAGAGGGATTGAGGGACAAGGTCCCACAGTCCCCTTCACAGACAGACTCCCAGTGACCTAAAGCCTTCCCGTTAGGTCCCAAAAGTACCTTCCTAGGGACTAAGGCTTTAACACATGGGGCTTTGGAGGATGTTCAAGTTCTAAACCGTAGTCCTCCATAAGCAATTCTCAGAGCCTTTTGGCTCTTGGGAAATTCCATTCTACAAGGACTCAAGAGTGTGTGGTGTGGTCGCTATGCACGGACTTTGGTCCACATATTGAGGCCATTTGTCGTTGAGAACTGGACACAGAACAGATAAGATGGCTTTTCTCCTGTATTTTTACTTTATTGTCACAGGACAATCCTTCCCAGGATCACCGTCATGGCCATTTGGCTGGACACCAATCGACAAATGTACAACGCAATCTTTGTTTCTGGAACAGTCATCCAACAGTTAGAAAATAGCATTCATTTTACAAACAAACACATTGACGTTTTATAATCTTCTCAGGCGCTAACTAAAATGTTCCACTAACTTTATTTTTTAGGGTAACTATTTTTTTTCAAAACCTGTTAACCCGAATCCTACCAGAGCTTAGAATGTATTTAGCCTGAACACTTAAATGCCAGGCTTGATTAACACAGTAAGTGCAGCATCCAGCCGATTTCATAGTAACTGGCTGCATACAGAAAACACATATATCCCTTAATGACTTCTGGTGGCCATGTTATACGTGTTAGCGGCTTTATCATTTTCATGCTTTTTAAAATAACATTCAGGAAAAAGAAAGTGTGCTTAGTAAATCAAGAAGAAATTACTGCTGATGACTCCAGTAACTAGCAACGCCATTATTAATATCTTCATCCTGAAGCCTGCCGGCCCCCTGTTATTTACATATCACTATTAAAATGGTTTTACTTCTAGAGGAAATTGAGGTCATTGCATGAGTCTTTGTGTGCGGTTTTTCCTATCAAGGAAATATCACGAACATTTTTGTGTTATGAGCTGTCCTAGGATCTGATTTTCCTGCCTGTGGAGTATTCCACTGTGCCTGCTTTGTGGAATAGTTTGGAGGCCGTGCTCTTTCTCGTCATCGTTTCCTTTGTGTTTATAAAAACTTAAACCCTGTGCCTTTTAAACACATTGGACTCTACTTTTAACACAAGGCTGTTGACGATATTAGAACCAGACCTATTCAAACACATGACTATAACCAAAGAATTAGTTGACTAATCTGCCAGCTGAATGAGTCCCATTGCTAAGAATGCTGGTGACTGTAATTGATCCCAGTAGCCCTAAACACCTTATTTTGGAACAAGAGAGAATCAGAGAACATTTGAGGTGGGGGAACCTTTTAGAAACAACACCAGTGGGAAGCAACAGATATAATTCGGTCTCCTAGGAACACAATGTGAAGAGGGGCTGAACCTAACAGTCTGGGTGGCAGGTTGTCATTGTCTCTAAAGCACAAGTCACTGAGATCCTGAACAATAGCAGAAAGTAGCAGGAAGAGTAGTAGCATTTCATTTTCAAATCAAAAATCTACATAAAAAGCAAAGTCACAAGTTCAGTTATGTGTGAAAATGTGCCTGTTTAGAGACACGATTGCTGGTTTGCTGAGGTGCCACTGGAGTTGGGATGGGAAGAACATGGTGCTTTGTTGGAGCCCAGAAAAGACTCCTGTAGAGGTTCTGAAAAAAAAAATTTAAATTTAAATCAGAGAACATTGTCCTCTTGGAGTAAGAATAAAAGGTCCAAAGTGCCTCTTCTGAAAATTGATGAGGAAGCCTTTGGGCAGAAGCAAGGCATGCTGGGATTGGTCAGCAAGGAAGGCAGCAACCACATGACCAAAGGAGAGCAGCAGAAGCCAGGGGTAAGGGAGACAGGAAAGGGTGGAAGAAAGGAAGAGAAAATGCGGGCAGTGGGGCATGAGTGGAATTAGGTCTGGAGGCCGGGTGGGGATGGGATGGGTGATGGTGAACAGCCATTCATTCTGGCAGAGGAGGTATCCCTACCCCACCCGATGTCTCAGGCAGAGGCCATGTTAACACTGATTGAGTTCCAAAATATTTAGACAAAGCTGGGAGAAACAGAATCCCAGGGTTTCCCCCTCAGCTTGTTGGAGTTGTGTAGCCATGGTAATTGTCCCTCTCGGGAGTGGAATGATGAACACCTGTGGATGCTGAGATCTAATGGCTGGTTTTCTTCCTGGCTTCTTTTCTTGCTGGTGGTAGCTGCTCTCTCTTCTCTCGCAGCTTTCTATGGGAAGGGCGCTGTCTTTTGTTCCCCACAGGATGCTGATCCAGGTGTGCCTGTATTTCTACTGTAAGTTTTTGTGGCGCTGCATGAAGTTCGTGATGCGGAAGCTCACAGGAAGGTGTGAACTGCAAAGGATTTGCTACAGCACCAAGCCTGGAGCGTCTAGAACCATGAAAATTGGTGAGCGGGGCGTGGAAGGGAGGGCAGAATTCACAGTTGGTGGGACTGAGAAAGCAATATAATATTTTAAGTAAGTCATATTCGAACATTTATAACTCGTTATAGCTAATGGCATTTGTGTGTGTTATTACTTCAACAGAAACATCACTGAAGGATTCGAAAAGTAAGGTAAATAAATTTTTTTTTAATTTTTCAGTAAATTTTCACTGAGGGTCTTACTTTGATCATGAAACATAAAACCTGTGGAGCAGTGAGATGGCCCAGCTGGTCGAAGTGGCTGCCACCAAGCCTGGGTGTGATCCCCAGGCTCCACAGGGAGGAGCTGATTCCTCATGTGATCCCCAGGTTCCACAGGGAGGAACTGACTCCTCATGTGATCCCCAGGCTCCACAGGGAGGAGCTGACTCCTCAGGCAGTCCTCTGACTTCCCCTCCTGCTGTGCAGTGTGTGCACCTTACACAGGTGTGCACACGATGGAATAAAGTACTTTAAGACAATAAAAACTAAAATTGAACTTGCAAGAACAAAATAAATCACTGACGAAAAGCATATATAAACAGGAAGTAAATGCATGTTTGCATATATGACAGTTTCTAGGCGTACTTGTAAAGTTTAGTCTATGTCAAATTAACTCATTTTATACCACCTCTTAAATCATAAAACAAGAATATAATAGCTGGGCAGTGGTGGCACATGTCTTTAATCCCAGCAGTCAGGAGGCAGAGGCAGGTATATCTCTGAGTTCAAGGCCAATCTGGTCTACAGAGTAAGTTCCAGGACAGGCTAGAGGACCCAAGTTGGATTCCCAGCACCCATATGGGCTCATAACCTTCAGTAACTCCAGTCTTGGGGAGGTGCCCTGATGCCCTCTTCTGAACTCCAAGTGCACTGCACACACATGGAGCACAGACATACACACAGGTAAAACACCCATACATAAAGAAAAAAATATTTAAAAAATAGTACACAGTTGGCCATCTACAAAAGAGAAAAATATGCTTTATTTTGCAAGATTTTTGATAATTTTACCTCATCTTCTTTAACTTCGGCAACCCTCATTCTATGAAGTGAAAAAGAAGCCACCAGTGTACTATAAATAGCTTAAAACAAATAACGACAAAAAGAATAAAGCGAAGCCCAAGCCTTCTACGTGCCTGCTTTATGTCAAATACCTCAACTGGGCAAATGGCGCTACCCCGGCTGTGGAAACACAGAAGGCCCCGGGATCCAAACACACTGTGTCAGTCTGTTTTGAGCTCCTCCTCGCATACAGAGGTGTAGAATTGAAGCCTCCGTCCCAGGGGTATGTAAGCCACCGCTGCTAGTGGGAGAAACTGATGGAAAGATGTTTTCTAGCTGTTGCAGACCTCAGTGAGCGTTCACCCCGATGCCATCGAGAAGACTATCGACGACATCATGGAGCTGAAAAACATCAACCCTGACATCAACCCACAGTAAGAACTGGACTTGCATGTGAGAAATACAGACCCCAAATCACATGGCGCTCTCTCTCTCTCTCTCTCTCTCTCTCTCTCTCTCTCTCTCTTCCTCCCTCCCTCCCTGCCTCCCTCCCTGCCTCCCTCTTCAAAATAATTATCTGCAGTGTTTTGACTTTCAGATGAACATTAAGTAAAATGGAGGTGCTTCATGTATGTAAATGGTAATGACTTTAGGCTTCTTCTGGTTTGTAAGCTTATGGTCCTGTCTCCAGGAGTCGAAAAAGGGCAAAGGGAGTGAGAACTAATATCAAAACACAAGATCAAGGAAGACCATTCATCTTCAGGACATGACTTGATTTCGGTGCTTTACATTAATTGCATATATTCAAGTCATAAGTGTGCTTATACTGATTCTGCTCCATCTAGAATATTCCTTCAGTTCCCTCATGAATATTCCATTATGCTGGGCTGATAATCTTGGAGACAGTTCCTACCTGCTTGTCAAGAAGACAGGCATGCGTGGGAGGAAGAGATGGTTTTTATATGAATACTTCAGAACTTTATAATTTATTCCTCTCATCTTGGAAGTATTAAAATGCATTTGGCAATGTTCGTGACATTTAAAATTAGCTTTATATTTTCCATTGGGTGCAGCAATTTTTTTTTCAGTAGAATTTGGACCTTAAAGGCATTAAGGAGAATGAATTCTAAATGCAGGTATATTTAGACACAGCTTGAGGTTGGTAACAATCAAACTGTCTTGTAGATCTGTGTGCATGAGGGCATCAAATGTCACAGACTGTTAAGAACGAAGATGGAGCCAGAGTTGAACGGGATTTCAGAGTCTGCTAGGTGTTGCTCTTTCTCTGTCTATCCAAGAGCTTGGTCAAAAAACTCCATTTGCTCTTGGTCTCTGCAGCATCTTCTTATAGCTTTGCCTCATTCAGACATTAAGGTTGAGTTAATTATGTAATAAATATAGTTTTAAATTTTTCTCATGGGGTGGAGACATGGCTCAGCAGTTAAGAGCACTAGGGCTCCTGCAGAGAGCCTGGGTTTGGTTCCCAGGATGCAAACAGCAGCTCACAGCTACCTATCACTCCAGTTCTAAGGGATCTGATGCTCTCACCTCTGGCTTCTGTGGGCACCTATTGCACATGGTGCACATACTTGAACTCAGACACACACAAATAATAAATATTCTTTATTAAAATTTTAAAACTGGCTTTCACTTTTATATTTTAATTAGAATATAATTATATCATTTCCCCCTTCCTCTCCTCCCTTCCAGCCTTCCCATGTTCTGCCCCCCGATTCCTCTCAAATTCATGGCTTCTTTTTCTTTAATTATAATTGCTACAAATATACACATAGATTAGATATATTCAACACGCTATGCATTCACAGCAAAATGTGTACCTTATAAATCAGAAGCCATGCCCCATGAGAGGGACCTGAAGGGACAGGGCTTTCCCCCTAGCCCTGTAAATGAGACTAGAACAGCGGTTCTCGACCTGTGGCTCTTGACTACTGGGGGTCAAATGACCCTTTCACAGGGGTCACATATCAGACATTCTGCATATCATAAGTTTCTGATATTAAGATTCATAACAATAGCAAAATTACAGTTATGAAGTAGCAACAAAAATAATTTTATGGTTGGGGGGGGGTCACCACATCATGAGAAGCTGTATTAAAAGACTGCAGCATTAGGAAGGCTGAGAATCCCTGAACTAGAAGAGTAGACATCATAAAATAATTGGGCCTGGTGGGGGGGGGGGGTGGAGGTAAATCTGTTTAGAGCACTGAATTCAGTCTACTTGGTAACAAAAAAAAGCCAAGTTTGCTTCCACATAGGAAAGTGTCCAGATGTGTAGAGTGGTTGGACTCTGGAAGGGATGTTGCGGAGGAGGGATGTCACTCATGGCACTCTCTCCGCTCTCGGGACACTATTCACAGGCGTGATGTCACCCCTTCTACCACAGCTGCCGTTGTGTTTCTTTTATTTTGTCTAGAAAAGTTTCTTGTTCTGAAACCCCTGAGAGCTCACTCCCTTTTTCCTTTCTTTCTCTCTCTTCCTCTCATACAAAGACTTTTGAAGTAAATCCAATATATCCCCCTAAATGGTCCCTAAGAATCTATTGTTTTCTGTCCTCACATCTTTCAAGCCACCTTCCTGAAGGCCTTCCTTGTTTGTTTTAAGCCAAACAGTTAAATTTGCACTTAAGAAAAAACTAAAATGAAGGGAGAGGATTTTCACAGTTCAACAAAATTGTGCTTCTAGCCAGGCATGGTGCGAGCCTGAGGCAGGAGGATTGTCTAGAATCTGAGGTCAGCCTGGCCTAAGGAGTGAGTTCTAGGCCAGCCTGACCTGCAGCATGAGACCCTGCCTGGAGAAACAAAGGAAGAGAAAAAGGAAGGGTGACTATATACATGAATATGAGTTCCTGAATATGTACATGAACCATTTACATAAAAACTGCTACAGGCATCGAGGGAGCAAATGCCAACGGCACATGGGTTCGTTTTTCCCACACTCGGTTCTTCTGTACTTTAGGCTGGGAATCTCTCTCCAGGCTTGCCTTCTGCAAATTGTGGGTTACAGAAACCTCATCGCAGACGTGGAAAAGCTACGCAGAGAGCCCTACGATTCTGACAACCCTCAACACGAAGAGATGCTTTTGAAGGTGAGTCCTTCCCCTAATGTCAGTTAATGGCTACCAAGCTCTCAGACCAGGCGGTCTCTGTGCATTGAGAATACAGAGCTGAGTAAGACATGGGTGTTGTGACGGATTGGCAAGGCTGAGTTCTCTTGCTAGTTGGGGGTAATTTTTTCATCAGAAAATTCATATGAGAAATTAACTTTAAAGCCAGTTAACTCTTATAATCTGAGAAAGCATCAGACGTTTATTTCTATGGGGGAGTGGCCCCTCGCACTTGGCTCAAGTTTGCATTGTTTCAGATGTGTTGAAGGCTGCAGGAGAATCGAGAGAGTATTTGTCAGAGTGTCATGGGGTTTTTACTTACGACTCTAACACACATCAAAGACAATGAGGTTGATTTCTGCTTTAGCAATAGCCCTCTGGGGAAATTACCCAAGATCCTCCTGCTGATTATTTATTCATGTAACTTGGCAAATGTTCAAAGAGGAGGTAAAGGTTTTTACTTGGCACACTGAGCCTGCCAGGAAGGTAATGTAAAGTACTCCTTGCTCAAGTCCTAGCAGCTCTGATGCTGCATCATCAGAAAACAGCAATAAAACATCAGCTTATGAGGTCAATCAAGTCCAAAGAATAAAATTCAGACCACCATTTGGAAGTGCTAACTCAATTAAAACATTTTAGACATCCACTTCTGAAAATAGATACTCTGCTGGCATGGAGTGCTTCTCTGTCTCTTTCTAAATTTTAAATAGGCGGCAACAAAACTAGGGGAGGGGCTAGAGAGATGGCCCAGTCAAGAGAGTGTGCTGCTTAAAGTTGCTGGCTTTCAACTGCCAATCACGTCTGCTCCAGGGGATCTGATGCCCTCTGCTGGCCTCTTCAGGCACCTGCACCTATGTAGGGGTAGTCATACACTGATACACACATATATGCGATTAAAAATAAATCTCAAAAAAAGAAGGAAGCCTTTGTTTATCTGCCTCGCCTTTGTTTAGCTGAAAATGTCAACAGGTGTAAATTTTTAAAGCATCTTGTGTTTTGTGTGAAAGAGTGCATGTTTTGTGTACGCAAGTACGTAGGCTGGTGATTCATTTTTCTCCACTAATTAGTGCTGGATCTGAGGTGATCGTTAAAACCTGAAGAAACCTCATTCTTGGCAATAGCACGCCTTCTTCTCTTTCTCTCCTGTTAATTTTAGCTAGCCTATTAGTTGAGTTCTGCCTTCTCCTATCGCAGGACCATTTTCTGATGGAGGATATCAAACTCACCAAAATGATTATTTAATAGCTAGGATCAAGGTGAATGAAAATGAAACAAATCAGCATAGTTGACAGCCTGGCTATCCGTGTCTGAAATGCTTCACAGGCCGAGATAAACTCAAAATTAGCTAATGGCATTTGAATGTCTGCTCTGTGAACTGGCTTATAGGAGGTGTTCGGCATAAAAGGGGGGTGAATTAATGACTTACTGTAGCACCTTAGTGTATTAGTCAGGGTCCTTTAAAGTAACAGGACTGACAGAATGAATATGTACTTTAAAATGGGGTTATTAGAGTGACTTCCCAGCTATGGGTCAAGTAATCCAACAACGGCCGTCTCCTGATGGATCCCGCAGTGGGTTAACCCACCGGACCGGATGTCTCATGGGTCCCGATCTGGTGCTGGAGTCCCAGGGAATTCCTAGAGAACTGCCACTGTTCAGTCTGTGAAGAAATCCTGAAGCAGCTGATAGAACTGGTGGTTCTAGCACCAGCAAAGGCCCAGGGACCGGACAGATGAACTTTACAGCCAGAGAGAGGACAAGCAGGCAAAAAGCAAAAGCGTCCTTCTTCCATGACTTTTTATGTGGGTGGCCACCAGAAGGTGTGGCCCAGGTTTATGGTGGGTCTTTCCGCCTCAAGTGACCCACCTGGGAAAAGTCCCTCACAGGTGTGCCCAGCTGCTTGGGTTTTTGTTAATCCCAGATGTGGTCAAGTTGTCAGTCAAGACTAGCTGTCACCCTTAGCTATTGTATAGTAATACTTTCTTGCCAGGACCGCCAGCCCACAAATAATGGCGCAGAGGCTTATTATTAATTATGAAGGATTGCCCTCTAACTTAGGCTTGTTTCCAAAGAGCTCTTATAACTTAAATTAACCTGTATTTTTAAACCTACATTCTGCCACATGGCTTGTTCCCTCATCTCTCTCCTGCACCTCCTGCTTCCCTGTGTCTCACTGTCCAGTTCCTACCTCTCTTCTCCCCAGAGTTCTCTCTCCTCCTGGAAATCCCACCCATTCTTTCCTGCCTAACTATTGACCATCCAGCTCTTTATTAAACCACTCACAGTGACACATCTTCACACGGTGTAACCAATATTCCACAATGTTTATGTTAAGAACAGCTGAAGATGGCTCTTAGCAGGCGTCCAAATGCTATGTTAGTTTCGCTTCTCTTTCAGCCAGTGAAATCCAGTATGTCAGACAACATGTGACTAGTCCAGTGGTTCTCAGTCTGTGGGTTGCAACCCCTTGGGGGTTCAAATGACCTTTTCACAGGGCCACACATCAGATATCCTGCATACCAAATATATCTGATATTACAATTCCTAGCAGCAGAAAAATTACAGTTATGAAGTAGCAACAATATAAGTTTATGCTTGAGGGTTACCACATAAAGGGTCTCTGAGCTCGGCAGGTTGAGACCCCCTGGACTAGGCTGTTGACTTTTATCGATGGCTGTGATTTGAGTATGCACATGCTCTCATTCTGATGTCATGGCTAAAGAATCACATAGTGATTATGTTCTTTATTTTAGAGGCGGGAAAACTACATTTATTTTAGTTCAGGTGGACTGTCTGATTATTGCCTATCAGTAAATAATAAAGCCAGAACTATTGACCATCAGGTTTGCCACTTTTTGCTTTCTATGTTTTTCTTTTAAGAGAAAGTCTCACTATGTTTTTGTGAGTTGGTCCTGAACTCTCTATGTAGCCAAGTCTGTCTTTGACGTTGTGGCAATCCTCCTGCCTCAGTTTCTAAAATGCAGAGATTACAGGTGTGAGCCACCGTGCCTAGCTCTGAGTTGAACCCTTTTATGACTGACTTTCCCTTTTACCCTTACATGATTTGCAATGTAATCAGGACATGTTCTGATCTCCAGAAATCCCTAACTATTATCCTCATGGTACAGCAAAATGTCCGTACCCATTCTCTTCTTGCCTTTGTCTCCAGTGTGCCTATTATAACCTTGTAATTCTGAACCTAACTATAAGACTCTTCCCTTCCATCTTCTTCATACTGACAGAGAGGTTTCTAGGAGACAAGTCTAGCCATTAAGATGGATTAATATTCCTAGACACCTGTAATCCCAGCACTGGGGACACAAGGCAAAGATGACTGGGGCTCAAAGGCCAGTCTGGGCTATATGCAAGATGTTTTCTCAAGCAAAACAAAACACCTTCAAACTTGCTGTGTCCTACAGTAGAGTCCCTATTGCTCAGGACAGCACCTTGGCCCCTTCCTGATGTACCTCTCTCAGCTCGACCGGCTGCATCCCTGTCCATTACATACAGAGCATCTCACCATAACTCAGGCTAGGCCATGACAGCCAAGTGCCCAGGAATTTGTTCATGTTCTTCTTATTGCTGTTCATTGGTCTCACAGAAGAAGCCACCTGGCTTTCTTAATCTTTATTCACTGGATTTTGAAATAATTTCCCTGAACACACAGAGGTGAGATCTTTCTTCTGCCCTTCTGGGTAATTGAATTTCCAAGTATGAGAGCAATGACATCATAATAACGAAACACTGGCTGGGTGTTTGCTGGGTCCTGGCCACTACAATAAATTCTGCACTGAGTTCCCATTTCCATTCTGACAATAACCTTGTGCTGATTGATGTACTGTATTATCTCCATTTGGAAAGGGGGTGAGAAAACAGGCTCCGCGGTGGCTGTGCAAGCCCACATCACTAAAAAGTGCTCCCGCCACTGTACTGCAGTATCTCTTCAGAGGAAACCGGGCCTAGTCTCCTTGTATCTGCAGAGCCTGGTCAGGGCTGGTGGATGACTGCCCCAGTTCAAGCTTCATCTTTAAGATGGGTGATGATAGCCCTGCTTCCTATGTTGCAAAATCGTTTAGGACAAGCATCCGCAAGCAAAAGTACATGAGCCACATCTACCACCCATTTTTATTAGTGTTGTATGGTCACATAGCTGTGTGTGTGTTTCTGTTGTCCCTGTCTGCTGTCCTACTATGAAGACAAAAGGAAAAGTAGTTACGGCAGAGTCCACACAGCTCACTGCCCGGAGTAGCTACAAAGACTGTGCACAGAGTTTGCTGCCCCAGTTTATAAGCTCAGCTAACCCAGGCGAGCCTTTAATTCATGTTGTTACCAAGGCTGACCTTGAACTCCTGATCCATCTACCTCTACCTCCCTTGTGCTATGATTTCAGGCATATACCACCACGTCTCCTTGTCTCTGTATCTTTAGATAAGTTGACTTGGCATGGCGTGACACCAGCATAAACATTTTATATGATTAAGAAGTAATATTAGAGTTGTGTCTATATTAATCACAACAAAAGTGAGCTGTAGGTTTGTGGGAGAGGGGTGCACACATGTGTAGGTGCATGCACACATTTGTGCATGTGATTGTGGAGGTGAGAAGTCACCTTAAGGTGTCACTCCTCAGAGTTCACCACATTGCATTTTGCAACTGTGTTTCTCATTGACCTGGTGCTAGCAAATTTTAGAGTTTCTCCTCTATCTCTACATCCTCAGAATTGAAATTAAAATCGGTAGCCATCACTCCAGGCTTTTGCACAGAATTCTGGGAGTCTACCTCAGACCCTCATACTGTGTAACAATCCCGTTACTGCTAAGTTCTCCCTCTACCTCTGAACTGCAGATTTTCACCTGTTTGTATTTTTTGCTATTGCTATACTTTACATTGTGCCTGGTATGTGACAATTCACAAGAAAGCAAGATAATTTTATATCACTCTTCTGTTGAAACTTTAAGATTCACCTAATATAAAATAAACATTCAGAAGGTTAACTATTTCTGAAAGAGTTGGAAGAAAACACAATATTTAGGCCCAGAGAAAAAAGGCTATTGGCAAAGGGCTTATTGTACAAGCATGAGAACCTACAGTTTGAATCTGCAGAACCTTGCAAAAGCCAGGTGGGATGGCATGTTTCTGCGACCCTCAATCCAGGGGAGGCAGAGGCAGGAGGCTCCCTGGAGCTCATTAGCCAGCCGGGCTAGCTGGACCCGTGAGCTCCTGGTTGAAAAAAAATAAAACAAGATAAAGAGAAATTGACGAAGACCATCAGTGCCAAACTCTGGCCCCGCTCAAATGAACAGACATGCGCACACATGTCCACACACACATGACACACCACACTCTAACACATACATACACAAAATACACACACAAAGAAATAAAATGTAATATTTGAATTTATATAATATTTGTGGGGTTGGAAAGATGGCTCAGCAGTTAAGAGGTCTTTCTGTTCTTCCAGAGGACCCAAAGCCGATTCCCAGCATCCGAGTCAAGAGACTCAGAGCTGCACGCACCCTTAAACATTACATATTATATAGAGCCATGGATTGCAGTCCCTGCCATCTGTCTACCTAGCTCTATCATTATGATGTGTGCTAAACCTAGTTTTCTACAGAAACCCTGGAAAGTAGAAAATTTATAAAGTAGTAAAGAGCATAATGTCCTGAATTTATATTTTCCACTGGGATATAGTTGATTTTGGATGAAATTATTTTAGCAACTCTTCAGGATGACACTGTATTTTGAGGCTCACTCGTGAGTACTGCCAGTGTTCCTTTATCTAGTTGTATGGTATTTGCTCTCACTCCCGTCACACATGAGACCTAAAAGATGAAACTAGAGTCAGTGTGCTGCTGTTTTTATTAATGGTGTCCATGCTCAGTTGTTGGTGGAATGCTAGAAAAGGGTTTCTGTGGAGTTGAACAACAGGAGACCTCAACATTTTCCATTCTTTTTTTTCTTTGTAGTCTTTTTTTTTATTTTTATTTTTTATCATTTATTTATTTATTAAAGATTTCTGTCTCTTCCCAGCCACCGCCTCCCATAACCCTCCCCCTCCCCCCATCAACTCCCCCTCTCTCATCAGCCCAAAGAGCAGACCAGGTTCCCTGTCCTGTGGGGAGTCCAAGGACCACCCACCTCCATCCAGGTCTAGTAAGGTGAACATCTAAACAACCTAGGCTCCCACAAAGCCAGCAGGTGCAGTAGGATCAAAACCCAGTGCCATTGTTCTTGACTTCTCAGCAGTCCTCATTGTCTGCTATGTTCAGTGAGTCCGGTTTTATCCCATGCTTTTTCAGACCCAGTCCAGCTGGCCTTGGTGAGTTCCCGAAAGAACATCCCCATTTTTTTTAATTTATTTATTTATTAAAGATTTCTGCCTCCTTCCCGCCACCGCCTCCCATTTCCCTCCCCCTCCCCCAACCAACTACCCCTCCTTCATCAGCCCAAAGAGCAGTCAGGGTTCCCTGCCCTGTGGGAAGTCCAAGGACCTCCCACCTCTTTCCAGGTCTAGTAAGGTGAGCATCCAAACAGCCTAGGCTCCCACAAAGCCAGTACGTGCAGTAGGATCAAAACCCAGTGCCATTGTTCTTGACTTCTCAGTAGTCCTCATTGTCTGCTATGTTCAGCAAGTCCGGTTTTGTCCCATGTTTTTCCAGACCCAGTCCTTTCTTTGTAGTCTTAAATAGTTTAGCGACCCTCCCAAAAGAACATTGTTGTAGGATGTTATCTATCTCTTTACCTCATTGATTAGGAACAAAAATATAAAGGTTTAATACACTAGAATATACATGCGTGCATTCTATTGCCTTCAAAGCAACAGCCCCATAACAGTGCCTACAGTTCGCTCTGGAGGAAAGAGTAAAGGTGTGTAACCTCCTGCTCTTATTATGAAATAACATTTTTGCTTTTTGGAGTCACCTTTAAAAACTGCTATTATGATATCTGTGCCTATACTCAGCTTTGCAACGCCTCTTGTGAGAATACAGCTCACAGCATCTGAACCAATAAGACAGGGCCCTTGCATGTGCACACCCAAGAGTGGCTCTCTTTTCTTCCACTGTAGCTGTGGCAGTTCCTGAAGCCCAACACGCCCCTGGAAGCTCGGATTTCTAAGCAGTGGTGTGAGATCGGTTTCCAAGGCGATGATCCGAAAACGGATTTTCGAGGAATGGGTCTCCTGGGACTTTATAATTTACAGTGAGTAAAATGAAGAAGAGTTGAGCATTAGAGCGATGCGCTGGTATCGAAATGCCAAGGTAGAACTATCACTTTCAAAAGCCACGTCCCAAAAGATGCCAGAAGAATATTCAAATCATCTGAGGGGAAGCTCGGGTTCAGACAAACTTGCCAGCACCTTGCCCGTATTTCAATAGATTTCATAGAATTTTGAAAGCAGCTCTTAGATAGTATTTTTAATTTTTTATTATGAAATCTTCAAGAATATTCAAAAAACTTTTATATTGATAATCTGAATTCAGAAATTTCAACATTATTTTTAGACAAAAATATTAATAAAAAATCCTATACTGTTTGTCATTTCATCTCTCATATTTCAATATGTACCCCTAAAATATATCAATGCTGGGCCTTGAAATGGCTCAGCAGAGAAAATTGGTGGCTGCCAAAGGCCACGACCTGAGTTTGAGACCGGAAACCTTCATAACAAAAGCTGAGAACCGACTCCATTGTCTTCCAACCTGCACATGTGCACAGACACACACAGTAAACAAATCTAAAATTTCTGCTTGGAATCTTCCTGTACCCCCCCATTAGATTTGTGTAATAAAATATAGAGTCATACATTAGTAATTTGGGTTTATAATATAGCTTTATTACTGCCCTGTTAAATACTTTTTATGAGGTACTTTGGAGGTAGTGTGAGTTTTTATGTTTATTAGACAGAAATTTCACTGTATTAACATCCCTAAGTTCTGTGAGATGAATGCAAATCCAGTATGACCGCCTTCTAAGAAAGATGCATTTGATCTGGGCATTGGGGCTCACACCTGTAATCCTAACTCCTGGGAGACAGAAGCTAGGGGATCAGGACGCATCCTTGGCTGTGTAATGGGGTCAGTGCTAACCTGAGCTGCAAGAAAAAAACACAGGAAGAAAGGATGGATAGAAGGGCAAAGGAAGGGAGAAAGAGAAAGAGAGAGAAGGAAAAGGGAGGGATGGGAGGGGAGGGGAGGACCTAGAGTTTTCTCTCCCTTTCACCATGTTACTTCTCTCAGGCTTCTGCCCCTGGGGTCTTCCAATCACAGAACCACCCACCCCTTATCTAGAATGCTGGATTATAGGCTTGGCTCTCTGGGTAGTAACGAAATTTGTAATTAAGTTTTCAAGTCTGTTGGCTCTGGAAGAGTGGTGACCTCATGCCAGTGTCTACCTCTGGGTGCCAAGAAGCATCCCACCAGGTGAGGGTGGCTGTCTCACAGACGGTGCAATCATGGTGTTCTTTCCCTCCTCCTGCAGATATTTCGCAGAACGGGATGCCACAGTGGCTCAGCAGGTCCTCTCCGACTCTCTTCATCCAAAATGCAGGTAATTGTTCCAAATAAAAGATGGTTTGGGTTTTGGGTTTTTTCGGGGAGGGGCATCAATAAATAGCATTTTCCACATGGATCTATAGAGAAGTGTTATCAGGAGAGCCAGCTCACTGGGAGCCAAGCTGTACGCGCTCTCGCTAGCCCTTTTGACAGGTACTAAACAGGAAGGCTAGCGCTCCAGATACTCACCTCAGGACTTAGAAGGTAGAGATGTGTGTCAAGAGTGCCTAGGAAGATTGAAAGGTGAGCGTGGACGGACAGACATAGAGGAAAGAATTCAGAGACAAGGGAGCAGGGTCTGGTCATGAGGAAGAATGGAAGTCAAGGCCCCATGGAGAAAGCTGAACTTTCTGAGGCTCTTTTGTTTTAAAGTTCAGGGCTATGCTTGTATTTCCATTTACTTGATTTCTTTTCTTTGACTGAACACGTGAAGGGATATCACTAAAGAGGAAATAAGGTATTTTTCTTTGCTTTTTTGTGGTTTGTTGTTTTTATTCTGCTTTAGAATCAATAGGATAAGAATTTCTAAAATAAATAGATTTGTGAAAACCACTTTTAAAGGCAAACATTCACCAACTTTTAATCTGATATGGTTGATCACTTGTCGACTGCATTTTTATTAGCTAAAATCCAGATTGACCTAATCTAACGAAAGGGTCGAGAAGCCAGGATTATACCCAGTTTGAGGGGCATATAATCCCTTCCTCTGAAGAGGTGGCCAGCTCGCAAACATGACCTAATCTCCTCAACAGACATTTTATTTTGGAATTTTCTTGCATAGTGAAAATTTGTTCTTTGATTAGTAATTGTGTTTGAGACACGGTCTCATTGTGTAGTCATAGGTCATCTTTACGTAGCTGTGGATAGCCTGGAGCTCACTATGTAGACCAGAAACCCACCTGCCTTTACTTCCCTAGAGCTGGGATTAAAAGCCTGCCTCACCACTTCTGGCTTTGATGGATGTGTTTCCAATGTGATAATTCTAAATAGTAGTTAATGTACGAGTCAGTGGCTCTTCTGAGAATTCCTCCTATTTTACTGTCCTGGTCCCATTAGATTATTTTTTGTCCACCTTATAGCACTTAATTATTACTGGCTAAATAAACCTAAAGTTATACTATAGCAGTCTTAAAATTCAGGAATTGGTTGACATGGGTTTATTTCCCTGATGTTACTATTATCTTCCTCCTAACCCCAGTTGACTAAGGTTCATTAAATTATATTACTTTCCCAAACTTACATTTATAATCTTTTATGAGATTAAAAATTTAGTTTCTTTACTTTCATTTATTTCAAGAAAAACATTAAAATCATCTAGATGTTTCTTGATAGATTGCATGATCAACCTCAAGCTATTTTGACTTTTAAATTGTATCTTCTGGATTGTGGAGCCGATGAACGCCTTCTAACTAAAGCTGGCTGAGAGTCTGTGTGTGTTTCCAAGTGGTGTTTCTTGGATCAGAACCCCGAGTCATGGATACTCTTTGGTCCTGGGGTAGTAACAATAAGCTTAAAATATTTTGGGGGTAACTGTGAAAGGGAGATGAATTTTGTCAGTGAGCCATCCTCAAGCAAGGGGAGGGTAGACAGAGGCTCCACGGTCGTGGCTCCTTCAGCGGAGATTAGAGAGGGCTTAAGGCACTGTGGACCACACTTCAGGAGGCTGGCCTCTGTGTGTGCTGTGAAGGAATCTAGTTTATCCCTCAAGCTGCAATCCAGTCAAAGAGAAAGATGCTTTTGTATTCGTTGCTTCCAATTGATAGTGGAGGTCACCAAGTCAGAATCAAAATGTCTTGAGAGCGCTGATCTATTTCTTATATAATTGTCTGAAATTTTGACCAATTATGGTATCGGCATAGCTTCTGTCAAACCCTGCGCATTCCAGGTATTCAGCAATGAGACAAAGATGTACTAAGGACGTGTTCCCAGCTGTCCTTCAGCAACCATGATACATTGCTGCCTTTGGGACTGATCATAGGGTCCTCAGTAACTTGAGGGATAAAGGTAGATGCGATCTTATGAGGAGAATTCTGCCTGCTGATTTCTGTTTACTTGGGGGACTATCTTATAAGTTATCAAATGAATGGAAGCTACTTGGCCTTTTGTTACATTTCAAATACAAAGGTTTCATTTAACAAATGCAGACGCAGATTTCATTTAGTAAATATGGACCTACTGTGGACTTTCAAAGCTTTGTTGGAAAGAAAATGGACACTTAGAACATGTTTTAATTCACATGCGACTCAACTCATTTTGAAGATGAATCTGGGCAAAACTCTCCTGGGTGCCACTTTAGTTTACTCTGTTGATTAGGAATCCCACTTTATAAAAAGGAGATGTTTTAGCATGAATTCCAGCAGTTATTTGGCATCATAGCCAATCATTCACAGAGTAGGAAGCTCATTTGTGTAAATATCCAGCGTGTACTATGTTTCTGTGATTGTGTGCTGTGGTAGTCCATGAGTGTTTGCCGTGTGTCATTTGCCATCTGTTCTAGAAAATTCTCCTTTTTCCCCGCTTAGATGGATTTAAAAATTGTATGTAGCGCCAATGCTAAAGTTTGTTTTTGAGACAAGGTCTTACAATATAGCCCAGGCTAGCCTAGAACTCAAAATCTTCCTGCACTGGCTTATGTTAAAACTGTTACCTTATATTTATGTACACTAACACTAATCAGTTTGAACATATCAACTCTATAAGCAACAATACAAGTTGGGATTGATGGGATTCAAGCAGTGTGCCCTCATGTCGTGCTTGTACTGCTGCCTATAGCACTGATAAATTCAGGCTGATTAGCGCGATAATAGAGGTACATGTAACGTGTAGTTAATGGTTTAGTATACACATTCAAAGAGAGCAAGAATAAATTAAATAATAAATGTTCATTTATTCATTCATTCTTTCAGCAAATTCAGCAAAGCAGAATGGGAAAAGAAAAGGATGGATAAAGCAATTGGGTAAGTGTGGGACCATAATGTGAATACTGTCAGCCCTGGCCCAGGGACAGCAAAACTAGGCTTAATTCCCAGCACCCACATGATAACTCACAACCATCTGTAACTCCAGTTCCAGAAGATCCAACGCCCCTTTCTTGCCTTTGTGTGTACCAGGCACTCACATTGTACACAGATATGCATACGGGAAAAAAAATCAATACTCATAAAATAATGAAATAAAATTTTAAAAATGTTTTACATTTTAACATTAAATACCGGACAACCTAGCTTAGCAGGTAAAGGAAGGAACTTGCCACCGAACCTGATGACCTGAATTTGATCCCCAGAATCTATATGTATAAGGAAAGAATGTTCCTGTCTCTTGGCTCCCACACACATATGCCATGGCACGTGAGGTCGCATGCACACACACAAATAAGTAAACAAACAAATTGATAAGTGTTCTTAATGGCCCATTCCATTCAGAAATATTTCTATGCCAGATATACAAGAACAGAGAGAATTTAAGAATTCTGTTCTTTTCTGTAGAAGAGGGACATAAAATATACCTTATGGTTTAAAATATAATAATACCTTAAAACTTTCTCACATAAAATTTAAATTTAGAAAAGCACAGGAAAGCGGAGCAGAACTCAGCCAGCAGCCCATCCTGTCACTTTCGCACTCATAGTAAGGACTCACTGCTTTTCATTCTAGAGGTTTCCCCCTGCATCCATGTGCGCCTACACTAAATCTCGGCTTGCTCGACACAGGTGTCTTGCATTAAAGTCTCTAAGAATGTAATTTTAGTTAGCTGTAAAATTACCATAATTTAGTTAACACAGAAATTGCCATAATTAATTTCTCTAGAAATCTTTTGTAGCATATTTGGTCTTGCATTGACCAATAATGCTGTAATAAATAGTCTTATGTATAAACTTTTGTCCACTGCAGATGATCACCTACCATATGTTTGGGAGTAGAATCACCAAGCCAAAGCGTGTGAATTCTCAGTTCTCTTAGCACAGGCTACCGAGCCCTTGCGGTAGAATTAGAGGACGGGGCTTTGATGTGGTGGAGATGGACAGCTGGTTTGCTACTCTGGTGGTCTAAGAGGAATTTGGAACTCGGATTGTCGGTTTTTGAAGTGTTTATATTCCCATGTGCAACACTTTTGGTTTTTGTGGGTCATACTTGCAGGTACTCCTTTGCAATTGTGGGTATCAATATCACCGATCTGGCATATAATCTGCTTGTGAGTGGTGCTCTAAAAACCCATTTCTACAACATCGCCCCCGAAGCACCGACGCTGTCTCACTTCCAACAAACGTTCTGTAAGTGTCCTGTTATTCAATTGTCAGTATGGATTTCTATAGAGCAGACAAGGATCAAAGCTGAGAAACCATTGTGATGGAGCTACGTTAGGCCCTGGAGGAAGTTTAACTTTGTTGTCTGTTTATTTTCTCCTTTAAACACCTACGCTTGTATTTCTGGGTATCATGGATTTTTCTTTTTCTCGGTTCTTATGTGATATGCATGTGTCAACTTCAGGCCTGACTTTTGGTCTGTCTCCTTCTGATCTAGCACAGCTTAACACTAAAGAATGCAACTCTAAAGACAACTTGAGTTGACTGCCAGGTCCTATGTCTGGACAGAAATGAGATTCACAAGAAGATTAGACAGTAAGGTTGAAAGACTTGCCTAAAATGTTGATCAAAAAGGTACTGGTGAAAAGTAAAGATAGAGGTTGAAACGTAAAAGGGCCTTGTGGGACATATCCTACCTGAAGAACGAGGGTGTCACAAAAAGGAGAAACTCACGGAAAGGAAACAAATCTCCAAATCAAGGGGAAAAAAAAAACCAGACCAGCAAGGTTGCTCTGTGGGTGAAGGTACTTGCTGCCAAGCCTGGAGATCTGAGTTTGATCCCAAGATCTATACAATGGAAGGCAAGGATCAGCTCCTGCAAGCTCTCCTCTGACCTCTCCACACACAGTCTCTCCCTCCCTCCCTCCCTCTCTCTCTCTCTCCCTCCCTCCCTCCCTCCCTCCCCCCCCCCTCCTCTCTCTCTCTCTCTCTCTCTCTCTCTCTCTCTCTCTCTCTCACATGCTAAATAAATATTGTGATAAAACTTTAGGCCTGAAGGACAGATTTTCATATTTTAAGTTCTAAGCACCCATATAGCAGATTAAAATCTATCAAGCCAAGGTCTATATCACTGTGAGATACTTGACACTGTGGAGAGATGATGCTGAAAAATTCTAAAACTGTCACGCAAAAACTTTGGAACCAAGACCACACTGGACTTCTTGGAAGCAGCCTTTTATTCTCAAACACAATGGAGTGTTGACTACAAAAGCTTAAGATGGCACAAAGGGAATATGATTTATAATTTTAAATTATATTCCCAAACTAACTTATCAACCAACTATTGAGTATCAAAATAAGATAGCCTTTGTTTATAAGCATAAGGTCTTAAATATTTACTTCCTCATAACTTAACAAGGAAACTCCTGAAAAAATGCATTGTTTCTACAAAATAAGAGAGTAACCCCAGGAAGAATAAATGAATCCAGAAAAGAAATCTTTCCAGGAGGAAAGCAAAGGGAATTCATAGGTGAAGGAGAGGGGCCCTCCCAAAACGGGTCCATGTAATAGGCTGAGAACAGATCTAGATTTGACCAAGTTCTGGAACTGAGCAAACATCTATCATGTTCAAACACATCTAGAATACATTTGGCATCCTTACGGAAAGTGGTTTATGGTTAAATTCAATGGAAAACTAAGTAAATGAACAAAGAAAGCAGTTAGACCTGGGTTAAAACCAATAAGGGGCTGAGTATGGCTGGGCGGGTGAACAGGGGCTAGAATCACATCTTCTGTAAACAGAGTTAAAAACAGCCCAGAAATGGAGTGCAGTGTGACTGTGGTGCTGGAGAGTTTGGCAGTCAGAAGGCTCACCTGGAGTGATGCAGAGCAAGGACTAGAGTAGACCAGGCTACCTCTTCACGGTGCTTGGTTTTCCCATCAGAACATAGTAAGCTATCTGATGCTGAATGATGCTAGTATAATTGGCAAAAAATGAAAAAGCTGTTCTTTTAAAGAAGTACTTACTTTATAACTTGTTAGTAGAAAATCTAAGCTCCTCACATGACGTTTAATAGCTCCCATTTTGACCAGTGGGTGGTTATATTCACTCCTGTAACAGTTCTGTCCCCAACAAATATGACTGGGTTTTGACCGCAGATCGGGGTCTATTCCGAGGAAGACTGGCATCAAAGCAAATAAGTACAAAATACTCGGAAGTAAAGATACTATTTCAAAATGCTGCAGAGGCATCTGACTGTCATCACCCACTGAGTCTGTAGCAGAGAGAGCTCCCTAAAGCAAATGCCATTTTCAGTGAGAACCAAAGGCTGGGTGGCAGAAAGTAAAGCAATGGGCACTGAATGGTACAGCCAGAGAAGTGGTGAGGACACCGGCCATAAGACAGGCATGTACAGCAGATCCAAACAATATAGTGGAGAGGGTATGATTAGCTATGACACTGAGCGGGTATGGTTAGATATAATACAGGAAATTTAAGAGCAGAATTTGGAACGGACCTTGAGGAGTTTTAAGCCAAGTTGGAGAGCACACGCAGAGCTAGTAACAAACAAAATCTCTTGCACCATGATTTTGTTAACCTTTCATAAGTTGCCTTTTTCTATAGTTTCCTTCTTTCTTGGGGAAATCAGGAAAGCTCTTGTGAGAGAAAATAGGACGAGTTTAACTTGAAGCAAACTGAAGGTAAATTCCGTTGGGGAAATCTATTCAGAGCTACAGAATGGACATTCCTATGAGAAGTCCTTTAACTCTGGTGAGGTGGAAGGGTTCTGCCTACAGACTTTGAATTCATCTGCTTGGAGTTAAAAATCAGAACCACACCGTAAATGACATCTCCCAGGAAAGAATCAGAGTTAAAAGCAAGAAGAATTGACATTTAAGGGTAGGAGAAGATGTCTTGTTCATTGCTGTATGCTCAGCCTACTGGAGTGTTTAGTAACTCTATATTGACTGGTGGATGAATGGACTGACAAAAAACATACTATAATATCATATGAGACTCTTTTCAGGGAAAAAGAGGGTGTAGATGGCCTGGAAATGTTTTAGCCTTACCCAACTGATAGGTTTTTCAGAAGTCCTAGCCCAGATAAGTTAGCATGAAGCAGTATTTCTTATTTCCCAGGACACTCTTTGGATTTTAGAAAGAGCAGCAATCACCAACAGATTAGATTATGGTCAGAGAGACTGGGTGAATTCAGAAGAGGCCAACCATGCCCTGGATTCATTGTCCCTCCACTGAGCACGGTCACTTCTGCAACCTCCTCTGTAATAGTCTTGCAATTATCTGCGTCTTTGCACATGCCTCTGCTCTCTCCTAACCGGAAGCAGTGAAGCAAAACCAAGACACATTTGAGCAGCAATAAATATGCGTAGGCTTCAAATAGCAAGCCGAATTAGTATTCAAAGCAAGTATTTCATCTAGAGGAAAGGAAATAGGAATGTAATGTCTCTATTGTCCTGACTGTGCAGTCTTAAGTCAGTGAACTGCTCTGCCAAGGCATTGTGTTGCAAAAAAGCTCCATCCTATCAAAAGCTCAACTGAATACACAACCCAACAGTAATGGGGTAAGATTAGGTATAGCGAGCTGAGGGAAGGACAAGCGCAGAAGAGGGGGTGAATTATCTGTTCCTTGACCTTCAGTGGAGAGAACTGTTAACACAGGAATAACTCCTCCCACCCCTGCAGGAGGCAGCCTGTAGAGACAATGGGAAGATGGCCTGGTTTGGCCCTGGCTTCCAGCTGTTAACTGTGTGAGCAAGCACCGTTCAAGCTTCCTGGCTGAACCCCGGTGTCCGTCTCCGTAAGGTGGAGATATAAAATCTGCTTGGCCAACCCGCAGCGCTGGGGACTGAAATGAAATGGAGACTAGAAGCAATAGATTGACTCTGCTTTCTCCCTCCTCTTTCCCCACTACTGTTAGCTTTCTCAGCTAACAAATCATTGTCAGAAATTGAATACCTATCTCTCTCTCCCTCCAAGAGACAGAGAATTAGGAAACATGAGATCCCTACCTTTCTCTCTATCCTCAGTGCCCAACGGTGTATCTGTTACAAACATAATTGGCAGATGGGGTGACCGGACAACAGGCCAAATGAATATTTGAATGTTGTGTAATAAATGAGTGGGATTTTATGATGTGTAGTTTGGAAGCCAGGTCACCATTTCTGTATTCTTAGTGCAATCATGTTATATGGTCTCTACTCATTTTCCTGATAAGATAGGGAGAGTCCCAGGGAATCTGCCTATAGGATTTGCAATTTACCTTTGTAGTTATCAAGGAAGTATCATGAAATTGGTATTAGATTATGAAGCACCATCGTCCTCCAAAATGGTCATTTGTAATTGTGTGTACAATAGAAAAATGAGGGACAGTTGTGTCTGAGTGCTCCTGGAACTCCATGATGTAACACATCCCCTTAGGAGTGTGATGCCAGGGTGTCTGCACACTGTAGAAAAGTGGGCATCTTTATGTCCACTACAAAAAAAAATAAGTCATTCACTAAAAGGAGATCGAGATGCTACATATTCTGATTTGGTAGTCCATATCATACCTGTGCCTCAGTTTATCGCATGTACCATATAAATACAGTCAAAAATACAATTGAAAAAAAAATGGTTCCCACAGTAGCTGCTCTCTCAGTGCCAGTGGGAGCATGCTAGTGAGACTAATGGGATGGATGCACCATGGATGATTTTAATTCATAATGTTAGAAATCTGACTCTCCTAGCAAAACAACTCAAGCATGTTTATTTGAGCTCAAAGACCAGTTGGAAAAAAAGTGTTTGTGTTTTATATATTAAGAAAAGGAGAAATTATAAAATCTCATTCGTTTCTTTTATAACCAAATTAATTGAAACATTCCTAGAAGGAGACGGGGGGGGGGGGGGGGGGTGAAAAAATAGAGTCTTCTAGATCTTGGGTTTTAAACTGCAATGACCGAGATTCATCTGGTTGAATCTGGGTGGATCTGTGTATTTAACAAATCACCCCAGGCTATTCCTGAGATATTTTAGGAGCTTTCCAGTCACTGAAATGGACAGAGGATTGAGTTCCTGTGGGTGAGTAGGAGACAGGGGTCAGGAGAAACAGTGCTGTCATCACACATTGAAACAACTGGGACAAAGGGCCGCCACCATCACTCACTGCATGTGAGCATGATGGGGATGCCAGATGCGTACCCTGCAGAGCAGACAAGTGCTGGGCACAATGCACACTGCAAGCATCAGAGGATTAGATTTGGTCCATGAGGTACAGACCAGCAGCTTTCTACACAGGGATCTTCTAAGACTCTTGGGCTGAAGCAGGAAGATTACAAATTGAAGACTAGCCAGGACGCCATACCAAGGCGTTAAAAAATAATCCCCTCATCTATGTAACTGTCAATGTTGTTTCGAGAGATACCAAAGCCTGGAATTCTTTCCCCCGCTCATCCCTCCTGGGTTCTCTTTATAGAGAAAAATAAAAGAGCTGAGAGCCCAACCAAGGTCCTCTCCAGCATTCTATCTGTATTTTCTGGTACCTTCTCAAGTTAGAACAAAGAAGAACTTATATAACATTCACCTTTTCTTTTTCTAAACTGAGATTATTTTCTTTTTTCTAATTTATAGAGAAGTCTGCCATTGCATTGGGATTTATTACATACAAACAAATATATAATATTGCCTTTTAAAGGAAATATTCACATTTCAATTATTTTAGATGTGTGTTGAAACAAGCAATGGGATGGAAGGAAGGATAAGATGGGGAAGAGAAAAACAATAAACAGATTCTTGCTTCAAATGCTTAGCATTTATTCCAAAAAAAAATCAACTCCAGAGTGTTCATAGATAACAACTTTGAAACACAAAAGCATTTGAATATGGAATTGGGCTTTGGAAAGAAGTATTATTAGCAATTTCATGAAGCTCGATCACGAGTCTGTGTAGCTTAGATTTGATTTATAGTTCTTACTGTCTCATAATAGGTGGTTAAATGCATTTGTTTGATGTGTCAGTGTAATTTAAAATTTTAGTTAAATTGAGTATCAAGAGGACAAAAGGCAGAGTGGAGTAATTTTGAAAGACAGAATCACTGTGTAATTTAGTTGGGAGGGAAGGATGAAGGAGTCACTGTCAGCTTTTTAGAATAAGTTATTTTATAAAGTGAGATTCAAATTTAAAAAAAAAAGAATAAGTTCTGGGGACAGGGTGGCTCACTGTGTAAGGCACTTGCCTTGCAAACACAAGGACCAGAGCACAGATCCCCAGAACCCACACAAAGACCAAGTAGATGTGATGGCCCATCTGCAGTTCCTGTGCTCAGGAGGCAGAGGACAGATCCCCAGAACAAGCTAGATAGATAGACTAACTGAAGTAGCAAGCCCTGGGTTCACGCTGGAGACTCCACCTCAATATATAGGCTGGAGAGTGGACACTTAAGACCTAATATTCTCCCCGGTCCCTACAATGTGTGCACATGCATGTACACATACCCACATTCCTGCAACAAACATACACAAATAAATGTAGTTTTAAGTATTTAAAAATATTTTTTGAAATACTTGAAAATAAAGGCATGGTGGCCCATATTTTTAATCCCAACATTCAAGAGGCAAAGGCAGGTGGATTTCTATAAACTGAGGCCAGCCTGGTCTACACAAGTTCCAGGTCAGCCAGAGCTACATAGACCTTGCTTCAAAAAGGAAGGGAGGGAGGAAGGTAGCAAGGGTGGGAGAGAGAGAGGAGGGAAGGAGGGAGGGAGGGAAGAAACCAGATACCAAAGTTGAGCTGGAGAGATTGCTCAGTGGTTAAGAACTCTGACTGCTTGCTCTTCCAGAAGATCCAGATTCAATTCCCAGAACCCACATAGCAGCTTACAACTGTAACTCCAGTCCCAGGGAATCCAGTGCCCTCTTCCGACCTCCAAGGGACACCGCATAGTGTGGTACACAGACGTACATCACAGGCAAACACTCATAAACATAGAAAAAAAAGAGTTTAATTAAGAAAAGAGAATATGTTCCCAATGTGATTCATATTCAAGAAGTGACAGAATTGGTTTGCCCTCCTACTTTGTGGAACTAAAAATGTCTCTAATGTTAGCAGCAAAAGGAGAAAACAAAATAGGCAACTTGGTAGCTTCTACTCCACTGGTCATAATAAACTTGGTGTTTCATGTGAACTCCACAGAGACTGTTACCTTGGTCTAACTCATCCGCAGTGGTTTGGAGTGTGGCTAAGGACTATCTCACTGTCTTGTCCCTAACAGGCTATTTGATGCACGAGTTTCACAAGTTTTGGATCGAGGAGGATCCCATGGACATAATGGAATTTAACCGTGTGCGGGAGAAATTCCGCAAGAGGATCATAAAACAGCTGCAGAACCCAGACATGGCGCTGTGCCCGCATTTTGCTGCATCTGAGGGTTTAATCAACATGTAGTGCCCGCGCCGGTTTCAATGGGTCCCCCAGAACACTGCCTCATTGTTGTCTTAGGTCTCTGCTTAGGTGACAGCTCACACACCGAATGCACATAGCAACTATACATATATAAATATATGCATGCCTTTTGGTACAGTATTTTCATCTCTTGGTCATAATTCCAAGATCCCCCAAATACCACTCTTTCTGGGGTATCTACCCTCCAGGGACTGCTCATATTGTGGCATCCTGCAGTGTTAGCATCTGTCCTTGACATCCAGGTATGGAGAAAGTTTTCTATTTTTTTAGATTTGTTCCTCCCCTCATCGTTCAATATTAAAAATGTGTAATAATTCTCTAGCTGTAATTTGTATGTAAGAGATTTAACTGGATCACATTCTGTGTTCATATTTATTAAAAATGCTTCATGAGGACTGCTGCTAGCTTCTCAAACTGGGTTCACGCTTGGACCCCATACTGGTAAAGTATAAGACTTTCAAATAATACAGACAGACACATGATAAGCCAAACTCTTCCTGCACATATAGCTGCACTTCACCAAACTGTAATGAGGCTATTAAGAAATTAGCTTAACTAGGAGTCAGCCTTGTGTGAAATCCGGCAGACCTGTAGCCTAACTTAACCACAGTTGCGACTGTGCTGTAGCCATCAGGATAGAAACTTATCTTATTCCCATCACTTCACGGCTTGGGTGTGTAAATAGGTATATGATTGTGGAGCCCCAGAAAAGAAGCCATATCTTCCCAAGGCTGCAAAGGGTTTCTCACTGCCTGCCTCTTGCTGAACCCAGAGTTAGTCCTTAGCGCTACCCCGATGCGAGCATCTTTGCTTAGGGGATTGAGGTCTGACTGGTTTGTTTTCTAGGTTGAGGGGCAATATTTTAACTTTTTTCAGGAAAACGTGTTACAACAAAGGAACCTGAGCAATGATTCTATCATGCACTATTTCTTGAAATTAGCATCCTTGTAACAGTGGAAGAAGTTGCTTGGGAGAAGAAAAATGAAACCATCCTCCAACTGCTAAGAATCATCTTCTTCAAAATGTGATTTAGTTTGGAATTATGATTGTAGTCTGTTGAATAGTATTTACCATGGTATTTCATACCCATGGTATTTTATACTTTGGGACTATCGATTTTAGTATTACTAGATGTTTGTGTAATCACTTGCTTATTTAAATGAATTTTGAGTACTGCCTACTGTCAGTATATGAATAAATTACATATCATTCTACAGTAACAGAGAGTGTGTTTCATTTGGGTGCCTTTGTACTCTGTAGGTCTTCAGATATGCAAATGCGTGAGTGGGTGGACTGTCAAAGACAAGCGACTGGTTAGAAATTACTGTCTTCAGAGCAGCCAGGTGTAACCGGCTGAGAGATTTCCTTAATCTTGAGGTCCGGCAATGCTTTAATGAATAAGACTTCTTTTTAATTTTCTTTTTTTTTTTTAAGAATCTCACTATGTAACCCTGCCTGGCCTGAAACTCACTGTGTAGACTACACTGGCCTGGAATTCAGATATTCACCTGCCTCCAACACCAGTTAAATTAGGATTAAAGGCATACATCACCATGCCTTAACCCTCTTACCTTTCCTTAATGACATCCTATGAAATCTGTCTTGATTATTGCGAGATGTCTGATTTTTAAGAACCCTCCGCTGCCTGTTGCTGCTTGGTAGGATTTCTCTACTCTAGGGTTCTCATCCTTTCTTTCTCAGGCCTGGGGTCAGGTGGTAGCACTTCTACTGCCTCTCCTTCAACCTGTGCCCTCTGTTAGACAGCGAGAAGAGGAGCATCAGTGGATGCTTAGCGCACACCAAGAATAATATCTCCAGAAGTGAAAGCTACCCGCCTAGTGGACTGTCTGCCTTGAGCGTACAGTGTTTGCACCTGCCGGTGCAGGCATGGTTCCACAGGCAAGGCAGGCTTGGCCAACTACATGTGTGCACTGCCTCTTCCTATTTCCTGTGGTCCTCTATCAGCAGTGCAGCGTGACAGCATGTGGTACTCTTCTGCTCAGGCAGAGACAGCTCACGTTGCCAAGCTAAGGCATTCCCCTCCCTGCTCCTTAGCTGCTTTCGATAGTATCTAAACATGGCTGCACAGCTTCAGGATGAACGGTTGCTGCCAGCTCCTTCAAGGTATTATTAGCCTTCTCATTCACACCTCGTTGTAGGAGATGCAGTCTACCCAGTAACACAGAGCGAAGTGAGAAAAAGAAAAGGAGAAGGTTTCAGGAGCATCAGAGATGCGTGATGTATGCTATGTGTGTATGTGGTTCCCAGGGGAATCTTTAGCTTGCCTCATATTTATCCCGTTGAGCAAGGGTTGACCACATAAAATGTAAATGGTGTAGCACATTTCCTTCAAGTTTTCTGAAACACTACTTGATACATGATATTTAAAACATGTCTGGTTTGCGCTGCAGGGAAAGAAATAAAGAAATACTCTTTGAAGCATCGCTTCTAAAGCGAGACTTTGGCTGGATTCACCTCCTTCTCACAGTTCTTGTTATTGTGCTGCAGTGAAGAACATTTGCCTGGTAACCCATCCTCTTCTCTGTATCTGCAAAGAAGCCTAGATAGGTGTCATTCCAAAGACTGGGAGGGATGCCTTTACATTAAGTATATCTTCCAAATCAGGTGATGTTTAAGAGGATAGAGAAAGCAGAAAGCAGAAATTCTTAGTTCACTGAGCCCAGAGCCACCTGGCAAAACCTGTGGCACAATAGTGCACGCTCTGCCAAAGCATTGCCTCCAGCTCTCCTGGGAGCATAGTCAGGGAACACTCTAAGTCGGAGACAGCACAGAAAAACAGAGCCAAGTGAAACATCACGCCCTGGAAAGAGGTTCCAACATGGATTCCATTTCTAAGGCTAGCATTTAGTGAGTGAGCTCCAGGACCATATGTCAGGACCCTGCCAGCCCTGACCTTGCATGACTTCAGCTCCCTGACAGCCTCTGAAGCTGGGTAGCTTCTCTTCTTGCTTTTCTTTTCTTCCTTTTCTAAATTACTAAATTCATTTCTTTTATTTTATGTGTGTTTTGTATACATATATTATGTGTGCTTGCTTGGTGCCCATGAATGTCAGAAGAGGGTATCAGATGGTTGTAGACTACCGTGTGGTGGGAATTGAACCCAAGTCGTCTTTAGAGCAACCAGGGCTCTTAACCTCTGAGACATCTTTCCAGCACCCCCCTACCCATCAACCCCCACCCCCACTTTTCTTAATAGGCAGGCATATAGGATTTCAATGCAGTGCCAAAGGACTCAAGACAGGCAAGGAAATGAGTAAGGCATGGTGGCTCACACTCATGATCCCTGTACAGAGGAGGCTGAGGCAGAATCATAAGTTCCAGGCCAGAGTGGCCTACAGAGTAAGATCCTATCTCAAAATCCAAAAGTAGAGGCAGAAGAAGCAAAGGAGAAGGAAGAGGAGAAAGAGAGAAAGGGAAGGTGGAAGAGGAGAAGGAGTGCTAAGCTAAGCTTGAACCCATGCCCGAAAGTCAAGACTTCTATTCATTATATCTTCTATCTTAGTGGGGATTTCTATTGCTGTGAAGAAATACCATGCCCATGGCAACTCTTATAAACACATTTAATCAGGGTGGCTGGCTTATAGTTCAGAGATTCAGTCCATTATCATCATAGTGGGAAGCAAGGCAGCAAGCAAGCAGACATGGTGCTGGAGAAGGAGCTTAGAGTTCTTTTATCTTGACTCACAGACAACAGGAAGTGGTCTGAGTCACTGAGCATGCATACATGAGACCTCAAAGTCCACTCCCACAGAGTCAGACCTCCTCCAATAAGGCCCTACCTACTCTAACAAAGCCACACACCCTGATAGTGCCACTTCCTTTGGGGGCCATTTCTTCAAACCACCACACTCTCCACTTAGAATTCTACACTACTGCCCGGGTTTCTGGTGGATTGTAAATACAGCTGTTCATGCCTTGCTCCTAAGTGATAGCACGTTAATATTTCTCACTCAGATACCTGCAAAGTAAATTCATGCCTACAGTTGCTGTTGCGTTTTCCAATTTCCCATTTGCCTTTGAGGAATTCCCTGCTTTGCTACACAAACCATTATGGCGGCATCCTAAGTTTCTTTGTCACCTGCCTCCCTGGGGAAGAAAGCTGGCTTCCCTTCTTCCTGCTTCCCGGTGGGAAGCCTCAGCAAGATAGGTTGGCAGAGCCTGGGCTGGGTCATGTTCAGGTCAGATACTACTGGGCATGTCTGTGGAAAAGGAAGCATCTGAGATGGTTACTATGTGGACTCCTCATTAATAATGCATCCCCTCCTCCCACCCACCCCACTGACCTGGCGCAGCCTCCGGAATGCTGCTGCTTACACTAACAAGTATGATGTCATCTGTTAATATTCCTGGGATACTTCACAGGTACACAACAGACGTGGTAGGGAAAGAAGTCAGAGAAAGGTCACAGATCAAAAGTTATTTTTTATCTAAATACCTAGGATGGTGCTATGCTTTTAGAGGAAGCCATAGAAGAAAATTCATGACAATTTGGAACGTAAAGCAAAGACGAAAGAAACCAAGATTATGTTTGGCAAAACCCAGGCCTGGAGAGATGGCTGAGTGGGTAAGAGCCTTGTTCTACGAGCTTGGGGACTTGAGTTTGAATCCCCAGAACCCATGTAAAAAGTTACATGCATGCGGTGGATGGAGACGGGTGGATCCAGAGAACTCACTGGCAAAGCTAGCCTAGCTGAATGGTGAGCTCCTGGTTCAGCTAGAGACCCTGTCTCAAAGTAACACAGAGAGCATAGGAAAGGCATCTGGAATCCTGCCCTGGCTTCTGCATATATGTGTACATGCATGTATACCTGTATTCCCATGTGAACATGCAGCAGACACACACTCTTAAAAAGAAAAAGTTAAACCCTCCCTACCCTACAAGTCAACATTTCCATTGATGATTGTTGCCTACAGTACATACAAAGGCTCAAATAAACTGCTTTTATTCAGGACAATTCTAACTCCAGAATCCAAAAATGAAAAAAAGCATATGATTTGAATTCAAGTGTAGAGAGCCTCCCACCTTGTTTTTTATGTTTTGTTTCATTTTAGAACAAGCAAGAAAACAACTGTCAGAGCTGTAGCAAGCCTGGAAGACTGGACCTGGTTGCCCACTGACTGGGCTCAGCCCTCATGCCTGGGACATCATGGCATCTGGAGAATGTTGTTCTGAGCAAGGAAATACATCTCACAGCTTGTGAGAAGCAGAAAGGAGTGTAAATGTTCTGTTAGGGCAGGGAGGGGCCACCAGTGACTCCTGATTTGCCCAAGACTCCCAAACAGAGCTCCACAAAGTTTTTGAGAAACCTCCTCATATCAGAGCACACTACATTTTTGTCATAGTGGTGCCCCTGTGCCATGTGTACCAACAACAGAGAAGTGGGGACGTCATAGTGCCCTGTGCCATGTGTACAACAGAGAAGTGGGGACGTCATAGTGCCCTGTGCCATGTGTACAACAACAGAGAAGTGGGGACGTCATAGTGCCCTGTGCCATGTGTACAACAACAGAGAAGTGGGGACGTCATAGTGCCCTGTGCCATGTGTACAACAGAGAAGTGGGGACGTCATAGTGCCCTGTGCCATGTGTACAACAACAGAGAAGTGGGGACGTCATAGTGCCCTGTGCCATGTGTACAACAGAGAAGTGGGGACGTCATAGTGCCCCTGTGCCATGTGTACCAACAACAGAGAAGTGGGGACGTCATAGTGCCCTGTGCCATGTGTACAACAACAGAGAAGTGGGGACGTCATAGTGCCCTGTGCCATGTGTACAACAGAGAAGTGGGGACGTCATAGTGCCCTGTGCCATGTGTACAACAACAGAGAAGTGGGGACGTCATAGTGCCCTGTGCCATGTGTACAACAGAGAAGTGGGGACGTCATAGTGCCCTGTGCCATGTGTACAACAACAGAGAAGTGGGGACGTCATAGTGCCCTGTGCCATGTGTACCAACAACAGAGAAGTGGGGACATCATAGTGGTGTCCTGTGCCATGTGTACAACAACAGAGAAGTGGGGACATCATAGTGGTGCCCTGTGCCATGTGTACAACAACAGAGAAGTGGGGACGTCATAGTGCCCTGTGCCATGTGTACAACAACAGAGAAGTGGGGACGTCATAGTGCCCCGTGCCATGTGTACAACAGAGAAGTGGGGACGTCATAGTGCCCTGTGCCATGTGTACAACAACA